CTGCCCGCCTGCAGCAGGTCTTATAGGCTTTATTATTATACGGATCGGGACTGCCCGCCTGCAGTAGGCCATATAGGCTTTATATAGCGCTTGAGTTGAAGGAGCCCCGCCGAAAGTCTGCACACACCCTAGTGAGCGCGATTGATTTATAGCGCTTGGGTTGAAGGAGCCCCTCCGGAGTCTGCACACACCTCTAGTGAGCGCAGTTGATTTATATTGATGGATGGATCTTCCCTGGGCATGGATCTTGCTCGAAGCATTTATATTGAGGGATGGATCTTCCCTGGGCATGGATCTTGCCCGAAGTATATATGTACTGAGTGACTGACTGTCAGTTAATATATATACATATATATTTTGGGATGGATCTTCCCTGGGCTAGATTGGCCATATACAGTACTGAGTGATTGAGTATTTTAGATCGTGAGTACACATAGTTTTCACTAAGGTGCATCAAATACAACATGTACATTGACATGTAGATACAGAGATGTCATATTCCTCACATTGTTCAGAATTGATCTATTTTATTTGTATTAAGAGTAACTGTTGAACTTGACAGCATGCCTACAGTTTTGTATTGTTATTTCTATATTGGACTGTACCTGCGGAGATCGTCACTACTTTCAGCCCAAAGGTTAGTCTTGTTACTTATTGAGTTGGTTGTACTCATACTACACTCTGAACCTCGTGTGCAGATCCAGGTGCTCCCGAATATGGCAGTTGCTAGATTTCAGAATTTACTATGTGGAAATTATCAAGGTAGCTGCTTGGCGTCCGCAGACTTTGATTCCTTCCTTTTTAGATATTGTACTGTTCTATATTTTTAGACAGTGATTTTATCAGTCAGACCTTGTATTCATTTAGATGCTCATGTACCTAGTGACACCAGATTTTGGGAGTGTTTATATATGTATTTGTGAGTTTTCTTCCGTTGAATTTAGATATTATATTTTCAAACTTAAAAGATATGGTGGTTTATTGAGATTTTCGGCTTGCCTAGTATTGAGATAGGTGCCATCACGACATGTGAGATTTTGGGTCGTTACAAGTTGGTATCAGAGCTCTAGGTAACATAGGTCTCACGAGTCATGAGCAGGTTTAGTAGAGTCTTGCAGATCGGTACGGAGACGTCTGTACTTATCTTCGAGAGGCTGCCAAACTCTTAGGAAAAAAATCACTTTCTTGTATTCTATCGTGCTGAATTGATTCAGCTTGAAACATAACTCTTTGAATTTCTTCCACGCATTCGCGTGCGCATGTGAGCGCTCGGTATCAGTTGTGCATCACCGGCTTGTGATTCCATGAACGAGATTCATGATATGTATTTTGTGTTGTGGTGATGGGCCAGTCTGGAGAACATGAGGCCAGGGTTAGATCGCAACTTAAGCTCGGTAGCTTCAGTTGTGTGAACTTGTACATTTGAATTCATATGTCAGGTAGTGTCCCTGTGAGTAAAATTTATGGTTCGATGAGAGGTTGTATGGCTATATGATAAGTATGATGTGATTATGGGATGTGTTTAGATGGGTTGAATATGACGAATAAAGTTTACTTGTGACTCAAGAGTTTTCTATTGGGTACTTAATTTCTGTCTTGATTTGACGTATAGTCTTGAATTGTGAGTGTATTGAAGGGTCTTTCACGTTGTTAAATTGTGGGATAAATTAAATTATCATGTCTTGTTAATGAGTTTGGACTTAGAAAGAGTAAGTGATTGTGTAGTAATTGTGGTTGCGAAAGGGTATAACAAGATGCCAATTTGAGGCTAAGCAGGTGGGTTATCTCTTGCAAAGTAATCTATGTAGGTGTGTTCCTTATAATGTTGAGTGGGGAGTTTTTTTCCTATCAGCGGAGTGTATGTGTTGAGATTTGAATTTGAATCTGGTGGAGAAAATTGACTTGACTATCACGAGAATGAAGGTGAACTTAGCAGTTGAATTGAGGTATTTTATGGTTGGTGTTACCTAAGCTTGTGAAAAATTTTCGTTGAACTGATTGCAGTATTATGGCAGTAACAGAGTATGGGTATTGTGAGTTATCAAGTATTTTAATCTATGGCTTTGAGCCAAGAGGGAGAGCCTGCTATTGACAATTCAATTCGTGGTTATGTGTCAAATTTTTGTTTTGGTCTGAAGTATACTTGGGAATCAGTGATGACTTGCAGAGGTAGATTTCGAGAATGACTCGAGTAAGAAAATTTCTTGATACGGGTTATATTGCGCTTTATAAGTATATGAAAATTGTGGGATGCATGAGTTATTATTTGTGAATGATGTAGTGCGCACGAAGTATGAATTTGATAGGTGGTATTAAAGTAGAGTTACTTCTTTGAGTGTTGTTGTGCTAACGGGGCACGTGTCTTTTGGCCCATTTGGGCGGTGTAATGTGAATTTGAACAAAAGCGGGTTACTCTCGAGAAAGCTCTAATGGATTTGAGATTAAAATGTAGAATTTTTGGCGGATTTGTTTATGAAAAAAATCTAAGATTTAAGTTGGATGATGTCGAGACTTGTGGCATTTTGTATATCATTATGGGTTTTATATTTCGGTATCAGGAAGGTGAATGAAACGACCTTAGACTCAAATAAGGTATTTTCAGAGTGAGTGTTTCGGTTGTGGTATTTATAGGGGTAATTATGATGTGGTGAGACTCTACAAATATTGTGGTAGCAATATTCTTGGATTTTGGTGACCTACGTGGTTTGGTCGAGTTAGAGGAATTTAGTTCTAATAGCTTGGTTATGTGCAGATAGATTTCAAAGTGTTGTGGATGGTTTCTACCATGGTTTGAACCGGATATTTTCTACTGGTGTGGGAAACATATTGTGTATTGTGATTTCTTCTTAGAAGGAAGCAAGAGGAAGGTTTCTAACTAACCGGGTATGTAATTTGCTGGTGACTCAGAGTTGATAATGGAATTCTTGTGCTTATCACATGATGGCATAATAGATGTGGTGTGTTGTGCGGCATTTAGATTTACATGTACAAGGTGGCAGTTCATTCTTGAAAGGAAGATCACGAATTTTGGACAGAATGGTCAGTTTTAGATATTTAGATGAATGTTATAACTGCTCGATAATCCCTGAGAAGGGTTCGCATTTCAAAAGGCACATTGTGTTTTGATTTACGGATGTCATTGGTATTGCAGTACTCACCTGGTTGATAGACTACTAATATTTAAATTATTTCTATGTGGCACGAAAGAATTATGAAAGTATTCCTCATGGGAAGATCGTGAATGGAAGATGTGTTAGTCATTCTAATGCTGGAGTTGGGATCAGTTACGGTGATTAATGTGTTTGATGAATTTGGAGACTGGGAGTTCTCAGAAGTATATTATTTCGGGTTGCGGCCTCTTTAAGGTGAGTATTTTATTTTAACTCAGTGGAGGCACTAGTTGCGTTAATTATTTGTGATAGCTACGCGCTATAGGTGTGTATATATCTGAGGTTTGACCCAATCTGCGGGCATCGGGGCAAGTACTCATACTCGAAAGAATGTTTAGGCTATGTATGCCTAGAGTTGACTGTTAAGCATAAAGTTATAACGTTTTTTGTGTTCGTACCTTTGTTGAAAACTATCTGGGCTACATTTGAGGTTACAAAGAGACTAATTTCCCTAAATAAACGGGTTTTCCTAAATAAACGGGGTAGTTACTATTTTTGCGTTAACTTGCCAATTTGAAGGGTGACAACAGATTTTGCACATGCTTACGTTATGGCGTGTTATTTATACCAGTCCGGGAGCATGTGAATCTTATTTCATTTATCATATACATGTGTACTTATTTGATTGCTCCTCTACGGTATACTTGGACTGGAGGCCTGTGACCATGCCAAGCGGAATATGTTATTGGCACGTGAGTTGTCCGTGCGGATTCATATACTGATATTATTGGGCACGTGAGTTGTCCGTACGAGTCCAGATATTGATACTATAACACGTGAGTTGTCCATGCGAGTGATGTTAATGTGAGCTCTAGAAGAGCTGGTTACTGTTATTAAATTTCTGTGTCTTGGTTCTACTATATATAACGAGCTTATAGTATTGTAGTTGTGGTGGTGCTTGTTGAACTCACAATACGGTTCTCTTCTATGAGATATTTTTTATATTTGGGTACACAGATTGCGCAGTTGTGGCCTGAGTTATGTTGATGTGGCGTGTCTGTGGGATAGTTGGGTTTAATAATATAAGGTCATTGGACCTAGAATGAGTACTATCAGGCTTGATTATGGTATATTCGGGTGGATAATATTGAAAGCCGGCTTAGGAGAGGATTATGGTCCTGGTTGGGGCGAGAGAGCTCCATGGCTAGTTGATCTCATGAGTGGTTGTGAGTTTTTTTTTATTGTTTCTTTCATCATTGGCAGTGTACGAAGGTTTTGGAATGAGGTTCTGTTGAATGCAGGGTTTTATACTAGTACTTGGTTGGTTTGAGTAGTTACTGTGATCAGAAATGGTGCTACGAGTATGCGAGTTGTGTAGTATGTTATGTGATTATATTTGGGATTATGGTTATGGATGGATACAGCTTGTTAAGACTCATACAGGTGTATAGATGTGAGACTCGGGTCTTGTAAGAAATTCTAGATATTAGAAATTGGGCTCTAAGTTCTACAGACTAAGGTTAACGTAATGATCTTCAATTGTGTTGTGTTGTCAGGTCTATGGAATAGGGTGGCGTGAGATCACCCCTGGATATGTGCGTGGTAAGATGGAATAGTGATGTGATGGCTTGGAAACAACACTTGACACGTTCGAGGATGAACATATGTTTAAGTGGGGGAGAATATAACGATCCGACCGGTCGTTTTGAGTATTACAGTCCCGTTCCTCCATTTACTGCTCAATTTATGCTTTACAGTTATTATGTAACTTGTAACTTGCCGGGGGTGATGAGTTCAAGTCCGGTAAGATTTTGGAATGATTTGGAACACTTAGTTCCAAGGTTTAGAACTTAAGTTGAAAAGGTTGACCGGATGTTGAATTATGTGTAACGACCCCAGATAACATTTGCTAAGGAAATTAAGGTTTTGTGGTGCCGAGGTAGATCAATAAGTAGAAAGGTTGTAGAACTTTCTCCCTTGAATGTTAATTTCAAAGCAATAAGACTAAAGAAAATATAGTGAGTTATCTCCCCATAGCGCAGCTATAGCACAGGAGGGAAGCTGAAAATTTTAGCAAACCAGTGAGCTAAAGCCTTATAGCACAAGGATAGCACCAGTAAAAAAATACTATATCTGATTTTAGCAAACCAGTGAGCTAAAGCCTTATAACACCGGGATAGTACCAGTAGAAAAATACTGTATCCGATTTTAGCAAACCAGTGAGCTAAAGCCTTATAGCACCGGGATAGCACCAGTGGAAAAATACTGTATCCGATTTTAGCAAATCAGTGAGCTAAAGCCTTATAGCACAGGGATAGCACCCGTGAAAAAATACTGTACCTGGGCCGATTAATACATAATCAGGAAGAGAAGAATAAAAGGATTTCAAGACTAGGGATTTTCTCTCCATCACCCATTCGGCCAAGACTTCCAATACACACTTAAGGTGAGTTTTTAAGAGTATTTTTATGATGATTTCACTTCTCAATCACTAGTTACAACAAGATTTTGTATTGGATTCCATAAGATTTCTTCAAAATCTCAAGAACACCCCAAAAGTTGACTTTCAAGATTTGGTCTTCAAGAGGTAATCTTTCATTCTTAAACCTATAATCATGGATTGTTAGTGAATATATGAGTAAGAAATAAGCATTAGCACTTATTAGATGGTGCTTGGAAGCCATAAATACTTCACCTAGATTATTGGGTGTTGTAGAGATTTTTGTAATGAATTAATTAGTAACAATTGAGTAGATGTGAGTTCATTGATGATTGCAATGG